GAAGTAAGTGTGGAAGTAAATAAGTATGGAAGTAAGTGTGGAAGTAAGTAAGTATGGAAGTAAGTGTGGAAGTAAGTAAGTGTGGAAGTAAATACGTATGGAAGTAAGTGTGGAAGTAAGTAAGTAAGTATGGAAGTAAGTAAGTGTGGAAGTAAGTATGGAAGTAAGTAAGTGTGGAAGTAAGTATGGAAGTAAATAAGTGTGGAAGTAAGTAAGTGTGGAAGTAAGTAACTACAGAAGTAAATAAGTAAGGAAGTAAGTGTGGAAGTAAGTATGGAAGTAAATAAGTGTGGAAGTAAGTAAGTATGGAAGTAAATACGTATGGAAGTAAGTGTGGAAGTAAGTATGGAAGTAAATAAGTATGGAAGCAAGTGTGGAAGTAAGTAAGTATGGAAGTAAGTAAGTGTGGAAGTAAGTAACTACAGAAGTAAATAAGTATGGAAGTAAGTGTGGAAGTAAGTAAGTAAGTAAGTGTGGAAGTAAGTAAGTAAGTAAGTGTGGAAGTAAGTAAGTAAGTAAGTGTGGAAGTAAGTGTGGAAGTAAGTAAGTGTGGAAGTAAGTAAGTGTGTAAGTGTGTAAGTGTGTAAGTGTGGAAGGAAGGAAGGAAGGAAGGAAGGAAGGAAGGAAGGAAGGAAGGAAGGAAGGAAGCAAACTTTAGGGCCGTTTCACAAATGTGGATGGTCTTTACAGGATCTTGATGTTCAGACACATATTTTGAACACAGATGGCTCCTTGGTACACGTGGTAAAACATGACAGAGAACAGGACTGCTGTGTGCACACAAAAAGGTCCACAGAGACCAATGAAACCAAGTTTCATTGGTCTCTGTGAACTGTTTGGTATTTTCATTGGTCAGATATTATTTTTAACTTTTATTTATACAGGTAGTCTCATTGAGTCACGAGGACCCACCCACCAAGTGAGACATATATTGTGCAGTTATGTGAGCGCCTGGGTGTGATGAGAGTAAATCTAAAAAAGTTAAATCTGGTCCTCTGGACATTCAAAAAAACAAAACAAAGCAAATCAACAACTCAAATCAACCAGAGGACCAGATTTAACTTTTTTAGATTTTTCTACCTGGATTATTGAGCATGCATCAGGAGATGAGAGTAAATGTTTTGGTGGCATGAAGCTCGTGAGCCAGTCCAAAAAAAAAAAAAAATCCATAAATTAGCCGCAGCATTGTATAAGTCACAGGGTTCAGAGTGTGAAAAATGTAGTGGCTTATAGTTCAAAAATTACGGTACTTTACAAAAAAAACACCCCTAGGTTTATTGTTTCGAGGCCAAACTCACCTGAAAGTGTGGAACAAAAAGCACTGCAGTGCAAATTACAACGAACAAACAAACAAAACTACCAAGTCCCCCTTTCTCCACTACAGCCGTGTCCAAAATCTATATTAATGAGCAGACACTGACACGCACGCACACATCCACCTGAGCAGGTGTTGCAGGGTAAGGAACCAGAGGGATTTGGGATACAAACGAGTCTCACCTGTTTATACAGCCCTCATCACGATGACGCATTCACACACATATTGAAACATAAAAATATACGTTTGACGCTGCAAGTCCCAGCTGTCTGTGTGTGGAGCAATAAGACCGCGTCCCCAGTCAGCACCACACACCTTCATGCGCTCGCTGTTGTTGAGCAGCACGTTGCGGAGCTCTTTGGACACCATGTACAGGTGTTTCTTCTTGCCTTCGTAGGTTCTGGTCAGAACGTTGAGTTTTGGGAAGTCAGGAGACAGGTCGTAAAAGGACCTGAGGAGGAGGGAAAGATTTTAGCTTGACTGATCGAAGCGCTGAAATCAGCCACGTCTACGAAGAAAACCCAGAGATACTTACTGTATAGTGTTGAAGACAGGGTCGTCTTCAGTTAGGAACACAAAGGGGTTCTCTTTATACACACACAACCGGAGCTTTTTGGAGGGTGGAGGTCTGAGAGGCAAAGAAGAATCATTATTCCACACATCCTGTTTGTTTCTCTGAGGTCTAAATATTCAGTTTAGGTTAATAATCCTATATCTAATAGTTTTTTACTGACAAACAATGAGTTTGACAAATCTGATGTTTATTTCATAGATCCTTTACTCAGTTAGGAGCTCCAGGTATTGGCAGCATGTTGTTTTATAGTTTATTACCTCATCAGACGAACGTGACTCACCCGCACACGTTGCCTTGTTTACCACCAGCCTCCTGAGCCAAAGCAGCTCCCGGGGGAGCCTCATGCTCTTCATCTCCTTTCTCTCCTGAGCAGTCTTCCTCAACCTCCTCGGGGGAGCCATCAGGGGGGAGGTGGGGGGTGTCCGCTGCAGACGAGGTTGCTGAAGAGTCTCCAGTTTGGGCCGATGAGCTCGTCGAGGGGTTCTTCCTCAACTGGATGAGGAAGGAAAAAAATAATAGGGGGATGAGCAGAAAGAGAGACCCAGCTGTGGAAAATAAACTAGCAAGTGATGAAGTATGGGGTTGGACATGGGGGTGGGGGTTGTAATGTTCTGGATTAAGAGGCAGAACCAGCTGGGAAAAATAAATCATCCTAAAACAAGACATCGAAGCGTGTTTATGAGCAGAACCTTTGGATATCTTTTGTTCCAAGGCATGGGGCCTTTTTTCACCAGCACAGCCACAAAGAAGCCTCCAGTGTTCTGGTGATGTGGCAGAATCCTCATACTGACAACAACACACACAAAGACACACAAAAGATTAATCCCAGGTCTCACTTTTATGCTGCCCCCTGCAGAAAGAACAAGACAGATGTAAAAACATCAAGACAAAAACAATCTGATGAATGCTTGGACAATGTGGGACAACAGCGCCCTCTGCTGGCCACATCTGAAGAGTAGAAATGACATCATCCTGAAGGACGCCCCGCACTAATCAGCCATAACATTAAGACCACTGATAAGCTTTACAAGCTTTACGACGGCATTTAGGAAAATGGGCAGCAAGGAAGTTTAAAAGTTTAAATAGAAAAGTGACCACAGATTTGATGAAACATCTTTATTCTCGCCCCGTGCTCAGGCCCATGTGGTTTGATAAGCAGAGGAAGACGTCAATGATTTTGGGCAATGTTCTGCTGAGAAACATCAGGCCTCAACTGTTACGAGGATGTTATTTGAGCTTATATCACTCACTGAACAATATTAGGGACCAGGACAACCCACCGACAGGACTTGGCAGTTTACTGGGAAGTATGCCTGAGCTGTACACTGGGCCGGGTTTCCCATTCGTTGCAGTCTACGGAAAACTTTTCGCTGCTTTTTAGTGAATTTTGTCTACGCTTCATGATGTTAAAAATCTGTAAACACTATTCTATATCGAAACGGTAATTCAATGCTCCTGACTTAGCACTCCTACTGTTGAGCAGCTAGTGAGAGTTTGCAGTTTCATAAAGGAGGCCTGAGTTGAGCCTAATTGTTGTCCCCCGTCATGAAGAGGAGGATTTAAAAATACCCTGTTTGTCCCTCTGTGTTGTGAGCATAACTTGAGAAATAAGTGAGGTAATGGCACCTACGTTGGTTTGGGGTGGCTTTTGGTGTAAAAAAAAAAAAAAGAAGAAGAAGCTTCCTTTCAAAAATTGGGTTGCCATGTCCAAATCCAAGATGGCTGCCAACATATATGTATACCAATCATCCCAATCATTTGAGATTATGCTTTCTAGTTTCAAATTGCTTCAAAGTATAGTTTTGTTTTTCAAATAATTTGGGTGGACCTCGGGATGACCGAAGATTAATCCATGGTGGCTAATAGGTCTGTCGCAATAAACAATAAATAAATTAATCACATGCTAAATGAAATTTATCGACCTCATTTTCATGCATTTTCATTTTCAGTGTCTCTTTCTACTGAAGACACCGGATGACAAAAGACTCAACTCCGGTGTCTTCACTGACCCCTCCCTTTCTCTTTTCTCTTGACAATCCATTTTAATCGTCCAAAATTGCGTTTTTGGATCATTAAAAGCAGCTAAACTGAGAAGCTAAGCTACAAATTAAACTAGCAGGCCGACCTCAGGGGTTAAAAACCTCTGTCTTGTCAAAGCTCCAAAATTCACGGTGGAAAACTCTGCCTTCGTGTAAAAAGTTGTTTTTTTCTGCAAAAAGAAACTGAGAACTTGTTTACTGATTTTTTTAATTAAATGCTTTGTGTGAAAAATGCTATGATAAAGAGCTCAAACCACACAGAGCGTCCGCCATTTTGAGAACCAAAGAGAGACGACCCATGTCACGTCAAGGGGCCTCCCTCTCAGACTGCTCTCCCTCACTATCCATCCTTCAGTTCACAGTCTTATACTGCCATCCAGTGAGTCAAAAAAGGTACTACATCCAAAACAAATTAACAAACATTTCCTATTAAATTTGACAATTACTAATTATTGTCAAATTTCAAACAATATTATCGTTTATCGTAATAATTTCTGAGACAATTAATTAGGGATGCACCGATCCACTTTTTTCACTTCCGATCCGATACCAATATCTGCGTTTGTCGGTTGATAGCGATCCGATACAGAAAAACTGTGCTGAATTTACAAATATGACTAAATCATGTCATCTGGACCCGTTTCTGAAACAGGTCCAGATGACATGATTTAACAATTTTTGTTGTCTACCTGGATGTTTGAGCTTACAAACCCAGTGCTGAATTAACTTAAAACATTTGTTTTGTTAAACACAGACACGAATGTACTGAATTACAAATTTATTGAAAACGCTGCACCATAACAGCACACTTAAACACACCAAGAGCTTCACAAGCTTGGTCAAACATGTAAAAACAACACAACTTTAATTTGTTCAGTCAGTACGCTAGCGCGCAATGTCACTCAGAGCACAAAGCATAGAGTTAGAGTGGATAGATCTGCCCAGTCATGGATCGGTCACATTGTCACAGATACCCGATCCAGAAGTTTTTTCGATATCAGTACTGATACCAATAATGGTATCGGATCGGTGCATCTCTACAATTAATCACTCAGCAAAATTTGTTAGCGTGACAGGCCTAGTGGCCAAGGCCACCATTGGCCACCCACTGGCTCCACCATTGCGCCTGGTGGTGGATGAAATTGCTCTGCAACTCTGCGTTGCCTCGAACAAGCAATAATAAAATTCAAATAAAAACTAGTTCTATTCTTAAACACAATGCAACTCCTACCCACTTCAAGGTTCTTTATTGTTATTCGCATTGTGTGTGGTGCATGAGGTCGAACAAAATTATGTACTCAAGGTCCTAGTTACAGGGAGGAAAATAAGTATTTGAACGCCCTGCCACTTTGCAAGTTCTCCCACTTAGAAATCACGGAGGGGTCTGAAATGTTCATCTTAGGTGCATGTCCACTGTGAGAGACATCATCTAACAAAAAATCTGTAAATAACAATGTAAGATTCTTTTAACAATTTATTTGTGTGTTACTGCTGCAAATAAGTATTTGAACACCTGCCAATCAGTTCTGGCCCTCAAAGACCTGTTAGTCCGCCTCTAAAAAGTCCACCTCCACTCCACTGATTATTCTAAATTAGAAACACCTGTTTGAGGTCGTTAGCTGCATAAAGACACCTGTCCACCCCACACAATCAGTAAGACTCCAACTACTAACATGGCTATCAATCAATCAATCAATCAATCAATCAATTTTATTTATAAAGCACCCTTCATACTAAAAGCAGCTCAAAGTGCTGTACAGAATTATAAACAATAAACCCACAAAATAAATGCAAACAGCACACACAAAATAAAATTGTATGGAAAATGTATAGACTGAACAGAAATGAACCAGTTCAGGAAATACAGTTAAAAAGATGGGTCTTGAGCCTGCTCTTAAAAACAACAACATTTTCTGCGGCCCTCAGGTTCTCCGGCAGACTATTCCACAGACGGGGGCCATAGTACTGGAAAGAAGCCTCACCGTAAGTGTGAGTTCTGACTATTGGAACTTTTAGTAGTCCAGTGCCAGAGGACCTTAGTGTCCGCGGGGGTTCATAGGGTAATAGCAGCTCTGCAAGATAAGATGGTGCGAGACCAAAGAGCTGTCCAGAGACACCAGAGACAAAACTGTAGACCTCTACAAGGCTGGAAAGGGTTATGGGGCAATTGCCAAGCAGCTTGGTGAAAAAAGATCAACTGTTGGAGCAATTATTAGAAAATGGAAGAAGATAAACATGACTGTCAATCTCCCTCGGACTGGGGCTCCATGCAAGATCTCACCTCGTGGCGTATCAGTGATCCTAAGAAAGGTGAGGAATCAGTCCAGAACTACACGGAGGAGCTGGTCAATGACCTGAAGAGAGCTGGCACCACTGTTTCCATGGTTACTGTGGGTAATACACTAAGACGTCATAGTTTAAAGTCATGCATGGCACGGAAGGTTCCCCTGGTTAAATCAGCACACGTCCAGGCCCGTCTTAAGTTTGTCCATGACCATTTGGATGATCCAAAGGAGTCATGGGATAAAGTTCTGTGGTCAGATGAGACCAAAATAGAACTTTTTGTTCTTAATTCCAGTCGCCATGTTTGGAGGACGAAGAATGATGAGTACCATCCCAAAAACACCATCCCTACTGTGAAGCATGGGGGTGGAAGCATCATGCTTTGGGGGTGTTTTTCTGCACATGGGACAGGACGACTGCACTGTATTAAGGAGAGGATGACCAGGGCCACGTATTGTGAGGTTTTGGGGAACAACCTCCTTCCCTCAGTGAGAGCATTGAAGATGGGTCGTGGCTGGATCTTCCAACATGACAATGACCTGAAGCACACAGCCAGGAGAACCAAGGAGTGGCTCTGTAAGAAGCATATCAAGGTTCTGGAGTGGCCTAGCCAGTCTCCAGACCTAAACCCTATAGAAAATATTTGGAGGGAGCTCAAACTCCGTGTTTCTCAGCGACAGCCCAGAAACTTGGCTGATCTAGAGAAGATCTGTGGAGGAATGGACCAAAATCTCTGCTGCAGTAAATCTGGTGAAACACTACAGGAAACATTTGACCTCTGGAACTGCAAACAAAGATACTGTACCAAATATTAACAATGATTTTCACAGGTGTTCAAATACTTATTTTTCTCACTGTATACCCAAAAAAGCAATAAATACAAGTATAAATAAATAAAAAAACAGTATAAGGATCTAAGATATACACTAAACAACAACATATTATGAATAAGGTGTATTAAACAGCAGCCTGAACATGAGTCTGTTGTGAGTAGATGGATTTACAGCAACTTATGGGTAAGAAGCAGCAGCATAAATAATCAGCAGCACAGATAACGTGGCATTACAGTGATATTCCTGGTTAGAGATTCATGAGTCTAACAGCTTCAGGGTAGAAGCTGTTCCTCAGTCTAGTGGTTCTACACTTAATGCTCCTCAACCTCCTTCCTGAGGGGAGCGGGGAAAAAAGTGTGTGCAGCAAGAGTCCATCAACATTAAGCCAAATGTTGTCATGTGTTGGCAGAGCAGGTGTACATTCATGCAAACTGTTTGCACATTTAAGAAAAGCTTGGATCTGAAAATATGACATTTAAACTAGGGATGGTGCCGATCCGATCCAGTATCTGTATCGGCCTCCGATACCAGCATAATTTATGTATCGGATTTTTCCGATCCACCTGCCGATATTTCCGATCCATGATGTATGTTGACTTCAAACTACGGAATGGATTTCCTGAACGGCAGCGTGTCTTATGAACCCAGAGTAATAAGACCCACCTCACATTCAGGAAATCCATTTCATAGTTTGCAGCCAGCTACAATGTGAGGACTGAGTTAGCAGCACTGTGGCTAACATCTAACCAACTTTTCATCTAAACATGTCCGCTGTGTGGAAGTATTTTACACTAAACACCACAAAACAAGACAGCATCGTGCAATGTCTGCAGAGCCATAGCGCCACATTAAACCACGTTAAAGTTAGTTTAACGATCGACGTTCGAGCTCCGTGCTTCAGCGGGGCGCTGCTCTCTTTGAAGCTGAAAGAGGCGACTCAACCCCGGTCAGCCGCGCTCAGTCTGCCCGTCTCTGAGGAGGGACAGACTGAGCGCGGCTGCCCCAAATCAGGCTGCCTGCTTTGGATTGAACAAAAAGAAGACGTCACTGAAACCACGGAGCTCTAATGTTTTACAGAGAAGTTGCTAAACTTCATAATTAATGACCAACCACTATCAGTTGTAGAAAACGAAGGATTTCACAGCTTGATACTTGCAGTCAAGATATAGTTTACCTTCCAGGAGATATTTATCAGTACAACAGTAAACAATCATAAAAAAAACATATGATTTGAAAATTATATTAAAAACAAAAACAGCTACATTATAAAGTGATGTAAAATACTAAAAACGGGAACATGTCTGTTGGTTTATGTCATGAACTTAGCAGGTGTTTGAAGCCATTTAACATTTAATTTAATTTAATTAATTTAAAAGAAACAAAAAAATTTTTAAAAAATCATCAAAAAGAAAACATTGAATGAAAAGAGTGCAGAAAGAAGAAAAAAAAAATCTTATATCTGCCCCTTATAAAATATAAAATAACTTTAAACAATCACTTAAATTAATCACTTTAATATCCACTTTAAAGCTAGGAATAAAAACAAACATGTTTTGTGTTAGCAGAATTTAATTCTAACTTTAAAACTTATCCAACATTAATAAAACTTACCTCAAGTTGCCTTTTTGGACATGCATGCATATTTTTGTACAAATTGTACTTGAGAGGAGATTATTACAGCCTCATATAAAATCAATGATCATGATATCGGAACTGGATCGGTATCGGCCGATACTCAGATCTAGTAAAAAAAGTGGATCGGTGCATCCCTAATTTAAAACAAGCTGCCTGTGTGTGAAATTCGAGGGTTAAATAGTGTATCTGTACCATCTCTCCAGGTGCATGCTGGTCACTTTGTCCACGTCTTTTGGTGGAAACATGGTGGGGCGGATCTGTGTGTGACGGCTGCTCGGAACCTTGGACCAGTCCGAGTACCACTGGCCCTCTTTGGTCATTAACTAGAGAGGAAAGAAGACCCGACAGTTCAGACGCTCAACTCCAAAAACTCAGTGATGAAGTCTGAACTTCACCATTACCTTCCAGGACGTGACCCCAGGCATCCACTTCAGTCCAGGGAGGTCATTTGAGGTGTCAGCCAGCTCCAGCGCTCCTATAGGCCCAAAATATGCTCAGACATGAAAGAACTAATGCCGAGTGATGCAGTGCCAGTAGGTCTGTTTTCTCTTGTATCTCAACGAAACTCAGGAAGGCACACACTCCCACTTCAGTTTAGTAAATGAAAATGTAGACTCATCTGACCAGAGAACACATGGAACTAAATTTTAGTCCACCTTAGAGGAGATTAAGCCTTGAAAACTCAACTCTTTTGATCCACAGTTGAACCTGTTAGTCAAATTAAAGTGGGGTTCTGTGTAAAAGTTATGAACAATTACAATCTTTCATATTGTACGCAACTCTACTACAGGTAACTTTTTCCACAGAAATTCACATTAAAATGGCCAAACTATCCCTTTAGTGTTAGATGATAGTGTTAAGTTACATTATGTATTGAGTGAATACTTTTCCAAGCTTCAAAACCCCATGAGCTCATGGGGTTACAACGATCAGTTTATTGGGTTGAGAACTTTCTTTAAAGTGACATTTCTGGGAGCTGGCCACCAATCTTTGACTGTAGTGGACACACTGGGGCGGCTGTGGCTGAATGGGTAGAGCAGCGTCCTCCAATGGGAGTGTTGGAGGTTCGATTCCACCAGCAGTCACATGCTGAAGTGTTCCTGGGAAAGACACTGAACCCCACACTGCCTCTGATGTGTGTCCCATCGGTGTATGAATGTGATAAAGCTCTGATTAATCTCTATAGATTCAGATTAGATTTGTAGAAATGTAGTAGAGTGCTGTATGAATGTGTGTGTGGAGGTAAATGAGGGCACAGGTTGTGTTGTAAAGAGCTTTGAGTATCTTGATTAGATAGAAAGGTGCTATGTAAGTACAGTACACTTATCTTTATCTTTGTTCTCTCCACTTTGTCTCTCACCTACTTTTGAATTTGTTGCTGGCATCAAATTTCAGGTGTGTTTCAATACTTTTACCTACCATGAATTTGGTCATTGAAGGCCTTTGAAAGCATTTCCTTTATAACAAATAATGAAACAAATTACTTTCTTTGTACCCAATTTTTTTAGGAAATGTCCTTTATACACTGCCAGGCCAAAAAAAAAAAAGCCACCACCTAGATTTAACTAAACAATTAGGTACAAGCCTCCTTTTGGATAATTACTGCATGGGTGTAGGACTGTATACCGAACCGAGGTTATTTTATAACACCGACCGAACTGCGTCAGTCGGTGTATGGATTGAAACGCCACTCTTTTTTCAGTGTCAAATTTCTGTATTGGCTGAAACGTGTCACGTGGTTTCAGCACACCGGCAGGTAAAACGTAGACATATGACAAACAGACTAAGTGTTTACACCCAGAGCTGTATAGAGCTGCCGTACAGCTTGTATGTCTATGGTGCTGGTTCCGCCCACAGATGGGTTTCACGGGCTTCAATTTGTGAGCAGAAAGTTGCTCCTTGTTTTTCTTCAAGGAGAGAGAAGGACATCAGCCTCCCCTCCTCCTCCTCTCAGCATTAAAGTCAGCCTGTGAGTGTTAAACAGAATCAACATTCCACCACCGGACTCCTCTTCATCAAAGAACTCTTGAGGACGGAGCTGTGTCTGTGTTTCAGCTGGTGAGTTTACGTTTGTTAACATTACTGCAGTTTAACATGTACATTGCAGTGAATTAAACTAGAATCCATGTAACATTAACGTTAAGATATTAGTGTGTAAATTTATTTTATCTACGTAGCTAGCTAAACTCAGATGCTACATACTCATGCATCACTCATGGTATGGGGTTGCATGAGCGCTTGTGGCATGGGCAGCTTGCATGTCTGGAAAGGCACCATTAATGCAGAGAACTATGTTCAGGTTCTAGAACAACATATGCTCCCATCTAGACGTCATCTCTTTCAGGGAAGACCCTGCATTTTTCAACACGATAATGCCAGACCACATTCTGCAGCAATCACAACATCATGGCTACGTAGGAGAAGGATCCGGGTACTGAAATGGCCAGCCTGCAGTCCAGATCTTTCACCTATAGAGAACATTTGGCGCATCATAAAGAGGAAGGTGCGACAAAGAAGGCCCAAGACGATTGAACAGTTAGAGGCCTGTATTAGACATGAATGGGAGAGCATTCCTATTTCTAAACTTGAGAAACTGGTCTCCTCTGTCCCCAGACGTCTGTTGAGTGTTGTAAGAAGAAGGGGGGATGCCACACAGTGGTAAAAATGGACTTGTCCCAACTTTTTTGGGATTTGTTGACGCCATGAAATTTGGAAACAACAGATTTTTCCCTTAAAATGATACATTCTCTCAGTTTAAACTTTTGATCTGTGATTTGTGTTCTATTCTGAATAAAATATTAGATGTTGGCACCTCCACATCATTGCATTCAGTTTTTATTCACAATTTGTTTAGTGTCCCAACTTTTTTGGAATCTGGTTTGTACATGTTTAGTGGATCGTGTGTAACTCTGTCAGAGTGTTTGTTACCTTCACTCTTCTCCAGCAGGGCTGCTATAACAGCTTCATCCTCTACAGGGTTGAGGGAACAGGTGGAATAAACCATCCTCCCCCCCACAGCCAGCTGCTCAACCCCACGCACTGCAATACGCAGCTGGAGCCTGGAAAACAAACACACAGTTATACTGTCAAATGTGTTCAATTAGTGGCAGGAGAACCCTCCTTTAGCTACATGGAGGCATAATTACAGTCATGGAGAAGAGAGTCTCAAGCCTCTTTCAAATCAAGTTTTACATATGCAGAAAAACACACAGACAAAAAAGGATCTGGTGTTTACCATGTTCTACAATTATTAGAATCAAACCTAAAGTGTACAAAAACAACAGATTCCACCACAATAGTATTTAGAAAACAAGAAAGTTCCTGGAGAAACTTAAGACAGGGACTGATGCGTGGCGGCCATTTTAAAGTTGTCAGGCGTTTTGAATGAGAAAAATGGCATCTTTGTGAATTACGTTGCCATGGTAACTCGAAACGCCAATAAAAGTAACAGCACACATCAAGGCACTGAGCTGGTCCTTTTGTTATAACATTTGTGGAGGTACACGTTGTGGTTCGGTCCGCATTAAAGTTGACGGAAGAGTAAGATATAAAGTTAAGAAACCTTTATCAGGTGGATAATAATCAGTGGCTGCCTTATACTAGGCAGTCCACCCATCCATCTTTACACAACTTCTTCCTTTTTGGGTCACAGGGGTCACTGGAGCCATCACTGTGCGAAAGGCGGGGACATCCTGGACAGGTCTAGACAGTTCCCTGTGAAAATTAGGTCAAAACCTGTGCACGAAAAACTGAATCCACTCCAACTGCTTCTACAGGATTTAAGAGGGAAAGTATCAGTCGTCAGGAGAAATGCTTCTCTGTAAAAACAACATGGAAGCACGATGTACATTTATAAAGTTGGATCTGAAAGAACCACAACACTCCTGGAACAATGTCCTTGGAGCAGTTGACCAAGGTTTACCCATAATGCACTGCAGCAGGTTTGAAGAAAACTGAACAGCACGTCTTGACAAACACTTCATGCCATCTGTGGCTGATTAGTTTGTTTCACAGCTGCTGGACCTGAACATCATGGAGTCATCAAGTCCAACATGAACTTGTCTAAAGCTGTGGACCACAGGTGAAACTTGGACCAAACTGGACCATGATGCAACAGGACAATGACGTGAAAAACTCCAGTTAATCTACAGCAGAATGACTGAAAGAGAAAAAGAAATTGCGGAGTTGCAACGGTTCAAAGTCCAGACTTCAACCTGACTGAAAAGTTGTGGTAGGACCTTAAGAGACCTTTGAAGAAATTAATCTTTAACCTCAATAAACTAAAGTGATGCTGGAAAGAAGAGTGGGGCAAAATTCCTCTACAACCATGAGACTGATCATGTTATACTGAAAACAACTATGGAGAGTCATCAAGCTACTGAATTATGAGGTGCAGCTTTTCATTGTTGATTAATAATGACAACATGGTGGAATCTGTTGTGTCTTTGTTAACTTGAAGCTAGATTAGAATAAAAACCTAAAAGACCCAATCCTTTCTATGACCTGATGACTAAAACCTTGGAATTTAAAGAAGCTGGACGTTCTCCCAGGACTGAACCTGTGCCGTCAGCCGTGTTACTCGCCCGTGGAGGTGAAGGCTGTTGCTGGTCGTCCATTTCTTCCACACGTCGATGTTCTTCCTCATGGTCCCGTCCCCGCTGCACAACAGAGCAGAGACAATCAGACAAATCCTCCAGAGCTCACAGATGCTTCGTGGAGCAAAAACCATCTGAAGCTCCAGCTGACTGACCTCACGCTGTCCTCAACACTGATCCTCCTGCTCACCTCGTGTTTACAAGAAGCCCTCAAGTTTGGCTTTAAAGCTGTCCAGATTGAGACAGGCTACGCACAACTTCCATCTTGTTTTGGCTACATGAATGAATGAATGAGTGCAGCTTTATTTGTCATCATCTCAAATACAACTAAATTAGAGCCTCTCCCAAGGTGCCTGTACAGGAGTTCGTTTGCTGTACAGTAGTCCCTCGCCACGTCGCAGTTCGTTTATCGCAAACTCGCTCTATCGGCGTTTTTCAAAACAAGATTGGACATGACGCACAATTGTCTGATTGACGGATGAGCCGCACGATGGGTATGAAATTTTTATTTTTAAATTAATTATTTTAAATTATTTAGCACCTGCTGCACATTTGTGCAGCCCATACTGTAGGATAAACTTCCTGCTGCAGCTGATCGGCTGTTCAGCGTGCAGAGCTGAGAAGTGGGCGTGGCCAAAAGCGCTTGCAGGTGGCAAAGAGCAGCGGAGGCAGGGAGCTGAAATCATGACAGTCTGTGCTCTTATAGAACATTTAGAGTTTAGAAACATTGTTTAGAATATTGAAAGAGTGCGAGAAGGGTTTAAAACACCTTATATATATAATAAAGGTGTTTGAATGGAAAATGAGGTTGATAATTTTCATTCACCATGCGATTAATTGACTGATTGTTTATCGCGACAGGCTTAGCTGTATCGAGCTTCGTCTCCTGACCTGTAGCAGCACCCCGGTGCTAGAGGAGCCGTCTGACCTGGTTAGTCATCCACTGATTCTGGTTGGGGAACACGTGAATGTGTTTTTCCACAGTGACATTACCAACACAGAAGGTGATGTAGTCTAGAACGGCCTTCGTGTGCACAGCCAGGTCCTGATGTTCAAAGACATCCCAGTGTGTGTGGCAGAACCAGTCCTGCAGCTGGACAGGTAATATGTAGTCTTTGAGTGGGGACTAGTTCTGAGGAGGGTCTTGGCTGGGGTAAGGAGCAGAGAAAGGACTGGCCTGGGGGGGAGGCTATGGATGTGTAGATCTGTTTGATGTTACATGATCTAGTGTATTTTGTGCCCTGGTTGAACACTTGACATTCTGGTAGTTTTTGTATGACAGATTTTAAAGCCGTCCAAACTGAGACAGGAACGTCTTCTTTTTGGTTTTGGCTACATAACTACACAAGTTTTAAAGAAGAGACCAGTGAGGAGGGAGTTTTATCACCCTGTTGACACCTTAGGTAAAAAAAAACAACAACTATTTAAAACAACTTATAAAATGTTTTACACATAACAGACGGCCTCATGTCCATCTGTTACATAAACCCCGCCCCCTCTAGCCAGACACCAGCTCAGACATCTGAATTATCCCCCCACTCTACAGCTGTCAAACGCTTTTTAACTTTGCCAGTCAAATGATGCAGCCACGAGCCAGGTGGGTGTGCTGACCTGCAGGGCACGTCACACAGGACCCGGTCGTAGGACAGGATCTCCTTCTTGCCGTCAAAGTCCATGTGGAGCGTAGGGATGCAGGAGGCATCGTGGTTAACCACCATGACGCAGGGGCTGTTGAGACGCTTGGCCTGGTGCACGAGCAGGTAGCAGCGCTTGTTGTCCACGTCGTTGGCGATCACAAAGCCCTCTGAAAAGGTGGAGGATTCAAATTATAGCCTGCCAATACTGGAAGCGCCTGCAGTTTAAACCTGCGGGAAGCCGAGATCAATATGCCTCGATAGGTTTGAAATGTGCGCACCTGGAAACGGCACGTCCATGTCAGAGTGAAGCATCTCAATCAGCTGAGTCGTCTTGGACCCCGGAGCTGCGCACATGTCCAGGATCTGCACAGAAACCAAGAGAAAATGTGTTTTGTCGCCCTCTTCTTGCACAGCAACCGTCACATACACAATGCAGGAAAAAAAAACACACAAAAACAATTATAAAAACGGGTTTAAATGTTAAAAAGAGCTGCACTTTAGTACTTTTACCTTGTGGTGGGGCTCAATCTTCAGGAGCAGAGGAGGGATCATGCTGACAGCTTCCTGTCGGCTGATGTTACCCTACAAACTCAAAAAAGATGCTAAATGTTGCGTTTTTTCACTTAAAATTTTTAATTCTTACACAGCTGTGTTATATAAAATGTTTTCAATTAATAAAAGTTGTTCTCTTGATAACGAATACAGGAACGAGAGAATCATGAAGTCACAAGTCTTAAATAAAGACCCAAATACGTCTAATTGTACAAATGCAGTTATGACAGCATTGACTGGTAACAAGAGAAATAAAACTTTGTAAAGATGATGTGAACATTATTCAACACGGTGTGTTGGTTCATCCTCTTCATGTTTGGCTCTTAAATTTGGAAAAATCCAAATAAACTGAGGAGACTCCAAAACAGGAACGCACATGTCGACAAAAGAAGTCGAAACGTACAAAACTGAAATATGCCTTAAAACATAAAGTGAACGAGAAAAGACTTGAAAAAAGGAGTGAATTTATTGGAACCAACTGTAAAAAAATATTCAGTTAATGAAAACTGGATTTCTATGAAAAACACGTGATTTGCAAAAAACGTCTTATCAGAAGAAAACACAAATACAGAGGCTAACATACAACGTGACAAAGTAGATGATTACGTCTTTTTCTGAAGAGTTTCTGAATTTCAGCAAGAAGATATTGCTGAAACGTGTGTAGTTTTTAAGTTATTTTAATTTGTTTATTATTATTATTATGTTGGGATGATGAGCCTTTTACAAAGAGAGCAAAAAGAATTAAAAATTGATCTCAGAAAAGACTTCAGCTCAAAAACACGGTGAGAAAACAACCTAGTTGTTAAACTGACACGATGGAGGAACCTCAAACTGAAAAGTGATCCAGTTTTCTAAATGTGTTGATGAAGAGTCCACGCTTTAAACAAGAAGGGTGCAAAATAAAGTCAGATTTTATTGTTGTTGTTGTTTGGTTTTTACCATTCATATTTTATTTCCTTATTTGAATCAGATATGTATTTTATTTTAATTTTTTAAAAGAATGGTTACATCTCGCACAGTGACTGCTGGATATGGGCACCAGTGACCCCCATGACCCAAAAAAGGAAGAAGCGGGTAAAGATGATGGATGGATGGATTGAAGGAAGAAAGGATAGATGAATGGATGGAAGGAAGGATAAATTGACAAAAATTGATGGAAGGAAGGAAGAAAGGATGGATGAATGGATGGAAGGAAGAAAGGATAGATGAATGGATGGACGAAAATTAATGGAAGGAAGGAAGGATAGATGGAAGGAAGAAAGGATGGATGAATGGATAGAAGGATGGATGAATAGACGAAAATTGATGGAAGGAAGGATAGATGGAAGGAAGAAAGGATGGATGAATGGATGGAAGGATGGATGAATAGACGAAAATTGATGAAAGGAAGGAAGGAACAATGGATGGATGGATAGACAAAAATGGATGGAAGGAAGGATGGATGAATGGATGGATGAAAATTGATGGAAGGAAAAATGGATGGATGAATGAAGAAAGGATGGATGAATGGATGGATGGATGAAAACTGATGGAAGGAAAAATGGATGGATGGATGGAATGATGGATGGATGAATGGAAGGAAAAATAGATGGATGGATGAATGGGTGGATGAAAGAATGAAAGGAAGGGAAAAATAGATGGATGGATGGATGAATGGAAAAAAGGATGGATGGATGAATGGGTGGATGGAAGGAAGGATGGATGGAAGGAATGATGGCAGGATGGATGGATGGAAGGAAGGATGATGGGTGGATGAATGGAAGGAAGGAAAAATGGATGGATGGAAGGATGGATGGAATGATGGATGGATGAATGAAAGGAAGGAAAAATGAATGGAAGGAATGATGGAAGGAAGGATGGATGGAAGGATGGATGGAAGGAATGAAGGAAGGAATGAAGGAAGGAATGAACGATGGAAGGAAGGAAGGATGGATGGAAGGAATGAAGGATGGATGGAAGGAATGAAGGATGGATGGAAGGAAGGATGGATGGAAGGAATGAAGGAAGGAATGAACGATGGAAGGAAGGAAGGAATGAACGATGGAAGGAAGGAAGGATGGATGGAAGGAAAAATGAATGGAAGGAATGATGGAAGGAAGGATGGATGGAAGGAATGAAGGATGGATGGAAGGAATGAAGGAAGGAAGGATGGAAGGAAGGAAGGAATGAAGGAAGGATACACAAGACAATTGCTTTCATTTTTCATAAAGAAACAACAGAATTATTTCCAGACCAGGTATTTAAGACTTTCTGTGAAACATCAGTGGTTTGAATAAACTTTTAAAGAACTTTAATTTCCAGTTTTGTCATCGGTCGTGACATCTGGACACTTTCTCCACGCTGGGTTAACGGTCGTTCAGCTCTCGGCCTTTAAAAAAAACCTTTAGGACTCACAGACTCTGTCTCACTGACGAGGAACTGGTGAAACTTCTCCAGCAGGGGAGACTTCCTGATGATCTTCCTGCTCATGTTGGTGTGCCAGGCCTGCTCGTCAGGATACCTGCAAACAAACGTTTTAGTCCTCCGATAAGCTTCCACACTTTAAATCTCTGAAGCTATGATGAAGCATGCTTTAGGATTACCAGCTGAGAGGCTGCGGAGCTTCAAACTTCTGGCCATCAATTTCTAGTTCCTGAATATCTTTGAAATAGTTTTCCTTCAGACAGTGCAGGATCTCCTTGGCATGGCTACAAGATCGCAGACACATAGAAGCTTTACAAGAACGAGACAATAACCATCCAACATGATGACTAAAATTAAACCTTACAACGCTGCCTAAATGCACAACTATGGAATCTAGAAATGCTTTAGGACTGCTGTGGACGTGAGTCCACTCGAGCAACTCCACCGAGCTAAAAATGAAACAATCCAACTTAGCTAATCAGAACGTAAGGGTACAAAATACGACGCACGCGAGCAAACCTTTTCACAACAAACTTTAATCTGCTGCTAAAACGTCAGACACTTTAATAATCCTGTGCAAAAAGCACCAAAAACTGGACACGAGCGGCAATTTAGAGACACTGATCCAGAAAACTCAAACTTGTACACTTCACATTTAAAGGATAGACACGTTTAACCACCTCCTGCGTGGTGCAGAGCAGGACCAAGTGTCTCTGAAGTATTACTTCTGTCCAGTACCTTTTATATCCAGTGATGCGGATGGTTGCTGGCAGCGGTTCCCTCATCGCCTCCATGAACTGCTCAAACTCTCCCTCAGGGATCAGGCCTTGTTCCTTGTAGTAATGCTCAAACAACTTGTTCTCTTTGACGATGTCAGCGTAGCCTGCTCCCCAGGCCTGAAACACACAGCTGCACGTTCACAAGTCTCCATCACGTACAGAACTTTACTGTGTAAATGGAGAAACTGAAAAAAAGCATGCATTGAAATGTTGATAGTTTACAACTAAATATTTATTTTGCATGTGTTTCATCCATCCTTAGGGGCTGTGAAGTAATAATCAGATGACCACTTTACTCTGTGTTCACACATGGATTTTTGAGCAGGCAGAAAACTTTTTTTTATTTTTTTTATTGCAGCAGTCACATGATTACTTGACACAACCAGCAGACAAATATTCCACCGATGTGGACTCGAACCCCCTACTTTTAACATTAAGCATAGTTTCGCCACTTCTCCACCATGCAGGATGTGCTTGTTGTGTGTGGGTCTTACAGCGCCGTCTCTGTCGTCCCTCCTGCCTGAGTTCTGGTTTTTCTGCCTCTGTCTGCTTCGTTTCCCCATGTTCGAAGACAAAAGGACTCGGGAGAAAAGAGCACGGAACACCTTGACGGCTGGACGCAAAATAACAGACCTAAACACGCCGACAAACTGTAGCTCAGGCGTTCAGAAAACAGTAACGCATCCGCCGAACGTGCAGTCTCTGACGCACGTGAAGTAGGACCCTTCATAGGTGTCCATGACATTCGCCTGATATATTATAAAATGTCTTCACAATGCTTAATTTATTTAAATTCATATTTTGGGGGGGATAAGGGATGGCATTTATTAAACCATGAACTAAATGAACGCACTAACAACACAACAACAACAAAAATGCGATTTTCATTTATTATAATTTAAATGCAGGCGGACTCTGGTCGTTTGGTTATTTTGCACTTAAGGTAAAATAAATAAATAAAACAAAATACGACTGGCTTTTTGAATATAGTTCAAAAACAATAAATGAAAACAAATAAAAGGCTACTCGTTTTATGCATAGATATCATATAATCACTAGATACAGCATTGACCGCTATCTTCTATTGGCGCTGACGAGCTGTAGGGCCGCCATCTTGAAACGGTCGACCGCTCCACTCAGTGTAACCTGTTTGACGGGAGCAATGAAGTATCTGCACGTTTAATCAGTCAGAGCTGAATACTAAACTCACGATTTTTTCCTCTGTAAATCTCAGGAGTACAGCCATTAAAGCTGAACACATGGTTCAGTGTATTTAAATATTCTTGGTGGGGTTAACATTAACACTAATAAATTATTCT